TCTGTAGTTGTGGGGGTAAACGCTGCAACCACAGAGTCTTGAGGACGTCACCGCTGATCCCCTTACCCGCTAGGGCTTCCATTTCTCTTAGTAGTTGTGACGGCTGCTTGTCCTCTAACTCTATTTCGTACATGAGCTTCCGTAGTCGTTTTTCGGGGGTGTCTGCATAGGCGGCGATCAATCTGGATTTTATGCTTTCGTACTTTGTCTCTTCTGTTGGGGGGTTGGCGACCAAATCGGCAACCGGCTGGAGCGTCGCGCAGTCTAAGGCGGTTACCACGGTCCAGTACTTGGTCTGGTCGGACCTGATTCTCGCGCAATTAAATTGGGCTTCGACTTGTGCAAACCAAAGCACCGGGTCTCGCTGCCAGAATGTCGGTAGCTTCAGATTTGAACCACTTCTTACCTCATCAAGGGCTTGTTTGTTGGAGATGGTAGCCAGTTGTGTCTGGAACTGGCAAATTATTTCTTGTTGTTCCTGCAGTTTCTTTTGCATTTCTTCCATGGTGCTAGCTCTTCCTATTTTCTTTCCGGGGTCACCAATGTGGAAATGACTAACACCAGGTAGGGTTTCTCTATAGTTTATTTACAAACGGATATCTTACACGTGGAACAGGAGACGGTACCCATCTTCTTCGTTTCGATGTCGGCGGCAGAAGAGAGTACTTGCCGTACTCGCGCCTCCTTGTGTCCCCAGTTGGTCTCTGCGTCGGCGCCAGGCTAACCAATCACGAGTGGTGTTCGGTGAGCATATTGAGTTGCCTACTCGTAGGCGAGAGGAAGTAGTACGTGTGCGTTGTGTTGCCTACATTAACATCACAGCAACGCCACAGTACCAACCGACTCATATTTACACACATAGTCATAATATTTAACAAGTTGTCAGTAACAAATTTTCGCAAAAATTTCCAAAATTTCGCATAAATATCGCTTCATTGATAGTACATTATTTAATGAGCACATAATATAAGCTATTATTCAAGAGGATGAATAATGCTCATTATGTGCGTGTCCAATGCGACGTTTTATCTACGACTCTAACACTTCTGAGGAACAGAGTCCCCTAAGGGAGGCAATGTTCAAATTCTTGGGTATATAAAAGTCAATGACAGTAAACAATCATCACAAAAAGAGTCTCCTCTGAAGACGATGTTCAAATTCTTGACGAAAGTAAGATTGACCCGTCCTAAGTAGGCAACTAACATTACACGATCCGAAGCATTTTGTGCATTGGTATCTAAGCTGGCTTTGCAGTTATTTATTGTTTCCACATTTCTTTATTTCCATAACCAAAAATTGTAAGTTGTGATGCGTAATTTAGTGTTTTCCTGCGTTTTATTTGTGTTATTTACTAAAAAGTGATGAAGACATTTCTTACACGCCTTCACAAATTGCAAAAGCAGCATTTTACTTTGATTTAATTTTCTAGCAATAAATACACTGACCGACAAAAAAACCGGCCACCGTGAACATTTTTTTAAACTTTAAAAATTATTAATTTAACTAGTGATCGTTATTTTATTAAAAAACCATTCACTTTTGACATATGATATATAAATTAGCATAAAAAGAAGACAAATAAACACACAATTAAATTTAATTTAACAAAATAACAGAAACAGAGCGACAATTTGAGAGACCTCTGTTTCTCATAGTTTTCGCGTGAAAACGTTTATATTAACTGCCAAACTTATAATTAAATGATGAAAACCGCCGTTTACAACAACAGCCTCCTTTATTGTTTTAATTATATTAAGGAAATGTCGTACTTGACCTGTTTTATATTATTATTATGACCCACCACTGACCCGGAAATGACCGGCATTCAGGCAAGACTTCTATCATTACGGGTACTAAGACCAAGTAATGATATGTATTGATTAGATTAACAGAACAACTTTCGAGATTCTAGAATTACAGCATACAAATTAGTCTGCTATTATTCTCTAATCTCACCCCATCCCCAAAAGTCCAGCGTAACTACCGACCATTTATTTTATTATTATTATTATTATTATTATTATTAATAATAATATTATTATATGTCATAGAGCAGAGGCAAGAGCCTATTATGCTCGACTCGAGGAACCCTGTACTGGGAGCTGAAATTCACTACCATCTCTATTAAGGGGGTGCTCGAACGACGGCTGGAACATCAATATATTTATATATACTTTTTTTTTTTAAAGATCAGTCAGGTGGTTATAAAGTTTATTTTTAAAGGAGGCAGTGCTACTTGACTCGATGAGATCTGAATCCAAACTGTTCCATACGTTGAAAACTCTGTTCGATAAGAAATTTTGACGCCACCTGGTCTTGTATTTTTGGTGATGCAACTTCATTGAGTGGCCGCGAAGATGAGAGGCAGCAGATAATTCAAAAATATTTGAAAGATCAATACCAAATTGGTGCGTAAGAATGTTGTAGGTGCACACAAGATCATTAATGATACGACGCTTTTCCAAAGAAGGAAGTTTAAGTAAAGAAAGTCTAACATCGTAAGGTTTATCCTTTAAAGTTTGCACAGTTTTTAAATAACGACGTTGCACTTTTTCTAGTAATTCTTTGTTTCCAATTAAGCTCGGTGACCAGACTACACTTGCATACTCTAAAATGGGACGTATGTAGGAGACAAGTAAAGTTTTGGATAATTCTTCCGTTGGACTTACAAATGCTTTTTGTATTAGATACTTGACTGTATTGGCTTTTTTAACTACAAGGTTGACATGTTCGGAGAAGGATAAATTGTTGTCTAATAGTACGCCTAGGTCCTTGATCTGATTAACGGGTTGTAAGACATGGTTATCAAGAGTGTACGGTATGTTTGGGTTATCTTTGCCCAGACGGAAAACGACACATTTTTTGTTGTTCAAGGGCATTAACCAAGTAGACATCCAGTTCTGAGCTGTAAGCAAATCGCTTTGAGTTATTTGGGAGGATGTTAATGGGTTGTTAAACAGTCTGCCGTCATCGGCGTAAAAAGCATGAGGTGATTTTAACAAAGACAGAAGGTCGGATATGTACACAAGAAACAGTATCGGGCCCAACACCGATCCTTGAGGGACACCTGAAAGCACTTCCCGGTTGGATGAATAACAAGAACCCACTCTTACTCTAAAGCTACGTCCTCTCAGAAAAGCTTGAATCCACTGGAGTAAGAGACCTCTGATTCCGACATTATCTAACTTTCGTAACAGCCGACGATGAGGAACGCGATCAAAAGCCTTTTCAAAATCTAAGTAAATAATATCGACCGGTTTATTTTGATCCAAAGATATCGTCCACGTGTTAAGGCACTGAAGCAAGCAAGTAACGGTAGATCTTCCAGGTAGGAACCCATGTTGGTTAGCAGAAAGTATGCTTTGATCGTTTAAAAATCGAAACATTTGATTCCATATGATTCTCTCCATAACTTTGCTGCATATGGAAGTAAGGCTGATAGGTCTATAATTTTCAGCTTTCGTTTTATCGCCTTTCTTATATATGGGTGTGATTAGTGCTTGGAGCCATATAGGGGGAAGAACTGAGTTCTGAAACGAACGAGTCATAATGTGGGATAACGGACCAGCAATCCAACTAGCACATTTTTTGAGTATAAAAGGAGATAAACCATCAGGTCCTGGCGAACTTTTTTCAGAAATTTTGATTAACTCTGCATGAACCAGTTCTTCAGTAAAATCAATATTAGAAAGAAACAGTTCTTTATGGGGTGATAAACAAGGAGGTAGATTGGTATGAGGTTCGGAGGTGAACACACTTTGGAAGAAGTCAGCCAAGAGATTGGCCGATTGATGTTCATTAGCCGCAAGTGTGTTGTCGTTTTTGCACTAATTGGAACTGAGACTTTGGATAACATCTTTCCACGAACAAATTTGTATACCGCTTTAGGACCTCTTTTTGTAACGTTTAGTTCATACCTATATTTTGCAGACCGTATATCACTTTTTAACTTATTAGAAAAAACTCGATGTTGATCGTAGTCATATTGAGAGCCAGAAACCTTAAATTTGTTCCACAACATTTTTTTTTATTTTAGCTTGTTTTAGAAAATGAGAAGAGATCCAGGGCTTGGTACGAATATACTTAAAATGGAAGGTAGTAGTGTTTTGCGAGGTGAGATCAGATAAGATATTAGTAAAAATATCCCAGGCTTCGATGGAGTTGGCAGTGTGGTAAAGAGAATCCCAGTTTATTTTGGCCAGGTCAGAATTTAGACCGTCAAAGTCGATCCTGGTGTATTCACGTCGTTCATATCTTTCTGTTGGTGGAATGTGATACTGTAAGAAAGTTTCAATGACGCAGTGGTCAGAAATACCAATTGGAGGCTGTTGACTGATTTCGCATAAAAGATTGGGATCGTTCGTAAGAATTAAGTCTATTAAGGAAGGAGTTTGGCCAAAACGGAAGCGAGTAGGGAATGATACCAGTTGCATTAGGTTAGTTTCCAAAAGAAGGTCAGCAAATAAGATGGCGGAATTATCGTTGTCGAGCAGTTGTAGGTGCGGCCAGGAGATCTTGGGAAAATTAAAATCACCGAATATTAACAGGTTAGAGTAATGGCTGCAAAACAATTTAATGTCCTCGACTACAGAGGATCCAGGTGGTCGGTAGATACATACCAATGAAAAGCTTTGGCAGCTGGATACACAGGTGACGCGTATCAGTTCTATTTTGCCGTAGTTTTTACTGCAGCTCGTAACTGAAAACTGTTTGAAAAGTGTTCTATTTAACAAGATACAGACTCCTCCTCCACGTGAGGAACGATCCGTACGATAGAAGATGTAGTCGTTTAAACCAATCAAAGAGTCTGGGACAACGGGAGACAGCCATGTTTCAGTTAGCAGAATACAGGCAGGATTTTTTTCTTGTATATATAGAGTAAGAGGGTCAAGTTTGGCTAATAAAGATGCAATGTTTGTGTACATCACCGAATATTGCGCGATTTTGTTTCGATCGTGATACGATGTTTCGACATGGACAGAAGACCTGCGTACTGGTTGCTATGTTGAAAAAATATCAGCTTTAAGTTTCTCAAGAGCTGATTTGTAAACGGGACAGGAATTATCCCAGACCGCGTGATTTGTGTCAAATTGTTTGCCTTCTTTGATAGACATTCGAATGCAGTTTATACATTTCAGGTTTTCGGCTACGCAGGCACTTAATTCATGCTCAGAACTGCATTTTGGACAGGAAAGTTTCTCCTTGCACACGCGGGACGAATGGCCGAAATTGTTGCAATTGAAACAGCGGTTAGCATCTAGTCCGTCAAAAACTATACAGTAATCGTACCCGATAAAGAGTCCGCCAGCTGCCATTAATCTGTCGTAAGATTTTTTATCTACTTGCAGCAGAGCCTGGTACGTAGACCGTTTTTTCTTCGTTGCCCAGAATTTTAAAATTTTGCAAGAGGACGAAACGTTGAAAATGGAATTATTAACTGACTTCATATAATCGGCAAGTTCGACCCATTCATCTTCTTCATATTTTTGAGAGAATCCGACAATCCTGACACGAGGAGATATACCGTTTAATTCACGTATTACGTAACTATTAGCTAGTTTTTCTTGAGCCAACTGTTTGAATCTCAAGTTTTGATCCGAAGATAGACAACCGACCAACATACCGCCGTTTTTTGTACTTTTCACTTTTGCAATCTGGATTTTTTCATTAGCAGGATCGATGGAAGAAGCAATGTCGGTTTTCGTTTGGGCGAAGTTTTGTTCGGGATTCTTAGGTTCAATTATGACTGCTGGTTTCGTTTTGTTTTTTAATATCGAGGAGAATGAAGTTACGGGTTCCGGCTCCATGAATGTGTCTTTTATCTGACGTTCGGCGTTCTTAATCAGATCAGTCTTTAAGTCGGAGAAAACTTCTTTCAGATTGCTAACCATTTCCTCGAATTTTTTCCCGAGAAAAACATTCAGAGAATCCGAATCAAAACTAACACATTTTTTTAAACAATCCGAACATTTCCAGTTGAGACCTGGAACAGATTCCAGCTGCTCTTGAAGGCTTTCCGGTACATCTACACATTTAAAGTGAAAACGCTTTTCACATGTACCTGAGCAGGATAAATACCCAAGCAGCAGACTGTCGTCTAATTCACGTCAATTTTTGGTCATAACTCGTCGGCGACGTCATTCGCCCAAAAAATCACGTGAAAATGACGAGATTTTTATGACTTACTTCTGACGTCAATTAATGACGTCAAAAGGCCGTCCTTTCTTCGTCATTTTTTATAGATTATATGATCAATTAGATGTGGGTCGTCGTATTCTTTAAAAAGTGGCCTTCATAATGCTTGATTATATTTAGAGCAAAAAATACAACGGCTTAATTAGAAATATACCAAAGACAAGTTTTTTCATTCTAATAATTTCTAATAAAATAATTATTTCTGAAAACTTGTTTACTCTGGAAGTGTTATTTTGTAAGTAGGTACCTGCTTGGTAAATTATAAATAGAACATCTGGGGTTGAGCGAAAAGACCCAACGACACAAACAAAGCATAAAAATTTTTTGTCCATTGTCCCTAAAACGGGACAAGGTTTTGAAGAATTCCTTCGTCGAATTTTGATTTTATAAAGAAGTTTATAAAGTGATGACGGTTACCAAAAAAATTCGAGAGTGATTAATATTCAGTTTTATTAAATTTATTCTTATCCTTATTTACTATACAATACATCAGATGTTTGGGGTGTGCATTCGGGCTTTCCCTTTTTTCGGTATTTATGTTTATTGCTCTTCACAGAGAAGCATTCCAATATTTCCAGTTGGTTCTCAACCACCGAAACTTTCTCGTGTATCCGTTACTCACTTCATTTTTAACGGAGTTTTGTGCAAATTTATGCCATTCAGTGTGGGTTGTACTTATTTATACTAGGTAAGTTAATATCTAATAAAGTAATCAGTTTAATTTTTACGTGTTTCTGTTATTTTTGATAACTGTACCTAGATGACAAAAGTGGTTTTTTCAGATAAGCTGGAAAGACCACCATTTTAATCACTGAAGATACTTCCACTGATTATGAAGAACTTACGGTGATTGTTTTTGAAAATGAGGAGCTATGAAATATTGCAAAGGTATGCAAATTTTTTATGAACTAATGCTAATGAACATAATTTTATTTTAGATTTGAAACAAATACAAAACACATGTGCGAAACGAACGAAATGCTAAAGGAAACGAGTGAAAAAATCTCCAACATGGAAACTTCATCAAATCTGACAATTGAAAAAGAAAACAAAAACAGTAATTATGCCGCCAAAACCACACCTAAACAAATTTTGACGAATTACAAGATTATGTTTGCATATTAGAACAAGCAGATTTCTTTGTAAGTTAAAAAAAATACAATGAATTCATATATACATATATAACATTAATATTGGATATTATATACCGGTAGATGCCTGTAATACTACGATACTTTTTGGTAACTTACTATTTACACATACACATTTCGCTTCATTGTAAAAAGTATTGACAACGAGATTTTCCTGATAGGCTGTACGTTTTTGTCAATGCAACAATTTTACCATTATCCGTTAGATTCAGGTAAATTTAGCATTTTTAAAATACAGAATTTGTCTTCTGCTTTAAGCTGTAATCCCTTAAATTTAATAATAGTCAAATGATTGCATTTCCATTAATCCATGCACTCTAACGGGTTTTTCTTTTCAGTGCAATAAATTGAGGCAAACTTAAAAAACTTAGGTTATTGATATGATTGTTAAAACAGAATTAGATAGTTTTACATATACTGTGGTTTTACAGTGCATTTTCAATCAAGTAACTTCAACAATGCGATTCAATTGTCTTTTCCCTTTATTCTAGTTTTTTTGTTTTAATATTTCTTGTAAATAGATTTGTTTGTGTTTTTAAGACTGATCTATAATTTATTATAGTTTTTTTTTTAATATTCTCTGTAACTAATAGATTTATTTGTGTTTTTAAAACTGATTTTTCTTTAAATAGCATATTTTATTGCAAGGTTTATTTTTGATTATATATTGTACAATATCCTTTTTTTTGTTTATATTAATTATACTCGTAATTACCTGTATGTAGATTTGTTTGTGTTCTTAGGAGTGGTTTACCTTTAATTTGTTTAATTGACATATTTTTTATTTGTTTATTGAAGTTCATTGTTGGTTGTACAAAATTGTAGTAAATTTAATTTTTTTTACACTAATTTGTTTTAACTTTAATTAATATATACTTTGTTTTGGGCTTTACTTGGTGATTATAACGAATTATAATATTTTATTTAAACTAAACAATATAAAAAAATAAAATTATTTCAGCGTTTTATATATTGCATATTTTTTTCTAAAAATCAAAATATAGAAAACGTCTTAAAATGGACAATAAATGCCGTCTCTAGGACGTCAGTAAATGACGTCAATAATTCGTTACAAAATGACGACTCGAAGACGTCAGTACATCACGTCAATAGTTCGTGAGAAAATGACGTCATCTAGACGAGACATTTGACCGTCATTGGTACGTCAATATCACGTGAAATCTTTGGTCACTATGACGTAAATGATGACCATTTATTCATGTGAAAAAGACGACATCATGTTGCCTGGGTAGCCTGAAGATGGACGGGTTTTGATAGCGCTATGACATTTACCGCAAATAGGTAACATGGTCGATTTGAAAGAATTGTCGAAATGTCGGAAATTAAGAAAAAGTATATATATATATATTTTTTTTGCAAACGATTGAGGGTCAGCGGGCCGCCTACAAAAACGAAGGCCGACCGCTGGCCGAACGAACACCAAAAAACAACTGCGGCTTGGTTGATAACGACAACACCGAAAGGAGATACCTACACGATAGGTTTGTAATTAAATGGAAAGATCTCACCAGATTGGGATGAGGTGTGGATCACCGAATATTATAATCCAGGCAAAGTGATAACTCTCCCTGAATATGCACTTTTGTTAAGTATAAATTCAAGATAAACTTCGAAAAACACTCGGAAACTCGGAGCACGACGTGAACACCGCACCGTGAGCTCGCTTTTTTTTGTTTCTGTTATTTTGTTAAATTAAATTTAATCCTGCGTTTATTTGTCTTCTTTTTTTTTTGCTAATTTATACGTCATGTGTCAGTTAAGCAAAATTTATTCGTTTATTTCCTCCGAAAAAATTGATGACGTCATCTCAAAATTTCGTCGAATAAATCCTATCTAAAATGTGTTATGATTACATTAAAAGTTTTTAAATTTCTTATACAGAGTGAATTACACAAATTCATGAATGATTCAGTTTATTTTATTGATTAAATCGGGAACGGCTCACTTCATTTTCCCGAAAATTTAAGAATGCAATTAGCCAAATACACTGACGTCATCCGAGGTCATCAAGATGGCAGCGTTTGACAACTAGCCGGTTTTCTCATAAGAGTCAATGCTAATATTTTCGGAATTCATTTAAATTTGAGAGTGTGTTAACTGTGTTTTTATAGTTTGGTAAGTTTGTTACAGTTTCTAGACTGTGTAGATATCTGTAAAACGCACCATAACGTTTGAATATCCTTAAAAAATAATGTTTTCCAATGTGATGTACAGGTTAACTTCGCTGCATTTTATATTATTTGTTTTGCAAATTAATTCTGTGTTAATGTACATCAATGTTTTTTAAATACACTAGCATCTTAATATTATAATATTTTGTATTTTAGGAGAAAATGCCTAAATTTTGTGCTGTTGTGGGTTGCGCGAATCGAAGCACCAGAAATGCGGACAAATTATATTTTCCTTTCCCAGCAATTAGCAACAATAAAGGTAAATATATACAGGATGGGGAAAAAAGGCGGAAGCTTTGGTTAAAAGCCTTGAAACGAGTGGATTTAACGAAGCCAAAGTAAAGTATTCCTGTATTTGTTCGGATCATTTTATTTTAGGTACAGTAACTACTTATTAGATTTACAGTTTCTAATAAATTACTACATTGGTGCTCTTTTAGGTAAACCTGCAGATTTGTCGGTTGTGGACCACCCTGATTATATTCCATCACAAAATTTAGGATATCAAAATAAATCCACTCAATACTTGTATTGTTGAAAGACACAATCGTTTAAAAAAGAGAAAACTGAATAAATGGCTCTAGACTTTTGAATGCACGAATTTCATTGTGGGTTATTTTACTTATTCCAAAAATAAAAAAGTATTTATTGTTATGGTAGGGACATCGTCTAAACACAAATTAAAATCACTTGCACTCATTATATAAGGATCTACGCCGTTTAAATTGTTTAACTTTTGTACATATCTGCTTTTCTCTTTGACAGAAAGACATCGTGCATAATCACTTAAATTGTCCATACTTTAAAAACAAATCACACACCTTCACTTAAACCCGTCACATTAACCTCAAACGAAAATATTAATTTCCGATTTACCGCTTAAAACACACGGATGTATTTTGGGCGACGAGGAATTCAGACCAAAACAGCGTTCTGTATTTTTATTTTTATTATGTATTTTTAAACTCAAATCGTCAAAAAAAGCACCCTGATACACAGAAAAGATATGAAAGAAGCTATTCACGTGTTTATTTTCTAGATAAATACCCACACTTTTAAATAAAATGCGAAAATGTTAACATTGTCGCTTATGGAGTTTCACGGCGCTTGTCAAACGCTGAGTTCCCGCCACAGCGTGACGTCACGTGTTATTGGCTAATACTGCTATCCTTTTAGTATTACACTGCACCACGGCTGTAGAATAGATAGGTTGACTATCTTTCATTCATTCACGTTCCGGTAGGTGGAATAATTTCTTTCCGTACCAGTTGGCCATGACGCGCGTTTTCAAATGGGTCCCTCTTACGGTATTTAGAGGCATTAATTTTTGCCACATCAAAAGGACACGATTATACCGACATAAATGACAACTTTGACATTTAATCAAAGCATTTAATAATAATTTTTATGTTAAACCATGGCCGACTAGTATAAAGATTATGGCCTGTTCAAAGGAATGCCAAAGGTACCATACGTGCTGCCATCTATTAATAATTTAAAAACGACAAAAGCATTATTAACACTTTTTGAAAGGCACAAAGGCATTCATACCGAAACAAACCACCATTACACGTTTTGAAGTCCCATAATGTCAAGTCAAATTAAAATTTTGCTAAATTATTAAGTGTAATTATTAATAGATGGCAGCACGTATCGTACCTCTTGGACAGGCCATAATCTTTATACTAGTCGGCCATGGTTAAACGTTCAATCTTTTGGAAGCGTCTTTGACCATTGTTTACACTAGTTACTATGCGACTTCTCTGAAACCGTTTTTGCAGAACCCTCATACAACGCCCCTGCCCTGATCGCGTTCCTACTCTTCAAATGTTATGAGAAATGTTTGTACAACATTTGAAGGTTAGGTAGGAACGTGATCAGGGGTGTTGTATGAGGTTTTTGTGGGGGCGGATTCGGCAAAATCGCGGTGGCTAATGTAATCAATTACCGAAAAGTTCTTAACCAGTACATTGTCAACTTGTTTTTCGAAGGAATCTGTCACAGTTCTGTTTATCTGGTCATCGCACATGTTTGTTTAATGATTGTTTACATGAAACAATAGTGCTAGAAATATCGAACAAACCTGCGGTTGCCGAGGTTTGTTATGTATAAATGTACGTTCCTCTCTGAGTTGGCGATCTCGTTAAACCAATTTAAACAGTAATTTCTATCATAATACATCAATTAGAAGTAGAATGACAGTTTTGGCAGCCTGTCAGTTGTCAATTTGCCATTGCAGTAGTGGAAAATTTCATTCATAAAGATGTTAGTGTGTAATCGTAATTCACAGATGGCGAAACGATCTAACGCGCGCCAAAGCCGCCTAGGACACCCAAATTTTATTCCACCAAATTTCCCTTAGTGTACCAACCTTATATTCTACAGCCGTGCACTGCACCTATCCAAAGTGATATGCGTATCTTTGCAAAAATGAAACGTGCGAGCAGCACACTTCTTTATATTTACTTTACCGTTACAAATTTACATCTAATCAAATTTTATCATTTTTCGAAAAAGCTGTATTTGTTTTATTTTACTTCAGGGATGAAGGGACTTCTGTCGAATAACCTTCCACCAATTTTTTAGATCTGCTTATACAGGTTGACAAAAAAATTAATGAGTCAATTTATTTTATCGAATAAATCAGGAAGTGTAAAACCGAATGCTTTAAAATCTTACAAACGTTTTAAAGTTATTGTAAGCATGGTAAATTTTTAATCAAAATATATCTGTTTATTCCTCCAAAAAATTGATGACGTCATCTCAAATTTTTGCCGAATAAAATGTGCAAATATGATGAGTTTTTTTCTTGTGATTTATCTTTGCGCACACAGTGGGTGCCCAATAAAGTCTCATCTTCATAAGGTGATCTTCATTTTTTTTTTCAACGGTTGGTTATGATAATTTTTTAAATTCTTCAACCTTTATCCTTTCTAAGTTCAGCAATGGTAGCTAATCTTAGCTGCTGAAGCACATAAGGTAGTTTCGTTAAAAATCCAAACTCTCTTATTTATTAGGTATTTAAAAAAAATAATAAGGAAGATCAACATTATATTGCATTAAATGTCTTTGCGATATCTATGTACGTGCGACATTTCACGCGCTGGGAATTCCTTTATCGGTCAGATAGCGAATAAAACAGGAGAACTTTAAATGTGTTACAAACCCGAGAAAGTTTAAGGTGTTGCTGTCCCTATTTTCGACAAAAGAGTAAGAGTTTAAAACCTAACTAATACATACTATCAAATAAACATACATTGGTTGTTGCTAGTGGAAAACCAACTTTTTTACAGATAAAAACTATTTGGACGATATCAATCATTGCCGCTCCGTTGACGTTACAACAACCTTGAGCTACTGGCTTTCCGGTGAGTCATGTGTGCTTCATAACGTTTATTATTAAGTAAATAAAAACAATTATTTTATTTTTAGTTAAAACTGATATTTAACTAAGTTGTTTAGATTTACAGATTTCGCCAAAATGTGGTGGTTCCTAATAATCATGACGGTGGCTGCAACCATCATATTTATCAGACTCAAGCAAAAAAACAAATACTGGATTAGAAAAGGAGTCAAACAAGGTTCGCCTGTACCTTTGTTTGGGGACAAATGGAGAGCAATTGCACACAATCAGTCTTTGGCAGATATGGTTCAAAAAATTTATAACGTTGGTGAGGATGATAGGTATTCCATTATAAATTGATTCAACCCTGTCGATCAAGCTACTTCAGAACTTCTTGAACCACATTATCCAGTGGAAAATACACAAAATAAGTCTTTTCAGAAACGTCATAAATTTAAATAAAAAAATTTCGGTTCGTCGAAAATGAAGAGAATAATTGTTTTTTTTTTTTAAATGAGACTACTTATTCTAAATTATTTTTCAGCAAATGTATACAAAAACATTGTTTATTGTTAAACCCAAAAATGAATTAATTTCATTTGAAAAACATTGTTTTTTAATTTCCGATAAAACTAGAATAATTGTTAAAACCACTTTTGTGATGTCTCTAAATAGTGTAATGAGATCCATTAGGTACTGTTCAGTGAACTTTAATTTGATAAGCTTGAATTTGTCTTCTGAACTTTTCTATTTATTTATGTAGGGCTACATATGTTCCTATATTTAAATTATGAGTACCATCATCAGGCCAAATAGTTGTGTATGGCTTGGTTGTGGTTATTGTTTTTGAGGTTATCAACACATACACAACTATTTGACCTGATAATGGTACTCATAATTTAAGTACCGAAACATATGTAGTGCTATATAAATAAATAGAAAAGTTCAGAAGACAAAACCAAGCCTATTATATGTCTCTAAATAGATCTGATATGGTAACTTCTGTTGCCTAATTTATTTCTTACAGACATAGTAGTTTTGACGTAACTGATCGATCAATGTGCATCAACCAGCATATTCAGTTAAAAAAATGTATGTTGTAGATATTGCGGTGCTTACGATTTCATGTCCCCTGCTCTCGTGCTTAAAGATCCTGATCTGATCAAAAATATTTTGGTCAAAGATTTTGACCACTTTGTAGATCATAAAAGAGTCATACCTGAGGGAAGCGATCCGATTTGGGACAGAAACCTATTTTTCTTAACCGGTACTTCATACTTAAAATAACTAAAATAAAATAATTTTAAATCAAAAATTTAAGGCCAAAAATGGCGCGACATGCGATCTGCGCTTAGCCCCGTTTTTACAGGATCAAAAATGAGACATATGTTTGTGTTAATAACTAAAAGTGCGGAACAATTTGTTGAACACTTTGTGAAACAAAATAAACAAGTTCATGCAATAGAATTGAAAGACACTTTTGCCAGATTAACGAACGATATTATTGCGACCACAGTTTTTGGCTTTCAAAGTGATTCATTGGAAGATCGTGATAGTAAATTTTATGAGATGGCAAAAAGAATTACTGATTTTACTGGTTTTTGGCAAGGAATTAAACTACTAGGATTTTTTATTTTTCCAAAACTATATAAAGTAAGTAACATACCTAACGCAAACTTTTTTTTTTCGAAAAACGCTTATCATTTTTTATATTTTTATAGACACTCAACATAAAAATTTTGTCAGAGCAAATATCCAATTTTTTCTACCGCATAGTTAAGGAAAACATAAAGACCAGAACAGAGCAGAACATAAATAGACCAGATATGATAAGTTTACTGATGGAAGCTAGAGAAAATCATAAACTAATCCACGGTGTTAAAATTACCGATGAAGATATTACCGCACAAGCACTTGTCTTCTTCTTTGCTGGTTTTGATTCCGTATCCTCTTTAATGTGTTTTATGTCATACGAGTTAGCTACAAATCCAGACATACAGGAACGTCTGATACAAGAAATTGATAAAACGTCTGAACTGTGTGATCGTAAATTAGATTATGAGGCTGTCAAAAGCATGAAATATTTAGACATGGTGGTATCAGGTTAGTAAAATTAAACATTTATAAACATCTGTAAATTTTAGCCGTTTGTTTTTGTTTTTAGAAGCTCTAAGGAAGTGGCCAATAACTCCTTTTGTAAATAGGATTTGTACTATTCCTTACACAATCGAACCCAAACGCCCTAATGAACAACCCATTCACTTGGAAAAAGATGCTATTGTATTTTTACCAATTTATGGTCTTCATCATGATCCTAAACATTTTCCTAATCCTGATCGTTTTGATCCTGAACGATTCAGTGAAGAAAACAAACCCAATATAACACCCTATACTTACGTACCATTTGGAGCAGGTCCACGAAAGTGTATTGGTTACAGATTTGCTCTTCTTGAAATTAAAGTATTGTTTTTTTACCTATTGTCTAAATTCGAAATTGTTGTCACTGAAAGAACAGAGATCCCTGTAAAAATTTGTAAAAAATCCTTAAATATGACTCCGGATGGTGGACTGTGGGTTGCCCTAAAACGACGAAATTAAGTAATGACTAAATTAATGAACATAATTATTTTTGTATGTTATAATTATTATCTAATAAATTACTATACATAGTATTTGTTCGTATTCATTTTTATCAATTTTTATCAGTTTTTAATCATTTCAATTTATAATAAATTTCGCGCTTGCTTTAAAAAATTGTCGCCGCTTTTTCGTTGTTCAAATAAACTATTTATCATTTAAGGTCAGGATCATTTATACAGCGAGTGGGTACAAGAAAAACGTATGGCGTCTAAACCTTGTGAATAGCATCAATCGACATTAACATACATATTTTATGTTATGTTACAATTATGTTAGCGTATAACCAAATAAGAACGTAACGACGTAACGTGTTATATAGAAAAATGTGGCTGTGGTTAATTACAATTGTAATATCACTGTTGGGCTACTTATGGCTGATTCATCCGTATAAATATTGGATTAAAAGCGGCGTTCCTCAGTGCTGACCGAAACCCATTTTTGGAGATGCTGGGGAAGCAATATTAAGGAAACGTTCTAATGCCGAGGTACTCCTAATTAACTACAACATGTGTCCAAAGGCAAGGTTAGCAGAGAAAATGGCATACGGTTTTTAATTATAATAATGACAATATTTTACATACTTTGGAGCCTAGACTTTTACCGTGCCTACTTTAGTAATACGACATCCAGATTTAATTAAACAAATTGCCATTAAGGATTTTGATCACTTCGTTGATCATAATGTATTTTTCGGTGAAGATGTGGATCCTATGTGGGCAAGAGATTTATTTTTTCTAACAGGTTTGAAAATTTAAACGTACTATACAACCACTTTCACAAACACCCTTAGCCCAGCTTTCACCAGCAGTAAAATGAGAACGATGCTCACCTTGATTTCTAAAGCTGGAGAGCAGTTTGTGAACTACTTTTTAAATGAAAGTGAAAAACTTGTTGTTATCGATACAAAAAATACTTTTAGTCGATTTACTAATGATAGCGAGCGTCACCTTTGGAGTTGAATGCGATTCTTTAAATGAACGAAGTAATGCTTTCTATGTAATGGGAAAAGATGGTACAGATTTGAATCAATTTTGGAAAAGAAAATACAAATACTTTTTCATATACTTTTTCTAAGGTTATCTAAAGTAAATATCGTCTACTACTGTCATTTGAACTTTTGTCATGTTGCTTTTTGTAGTACCCGGGAGTATCACTATTTTCAACACAAGTGAGTAATTTCTTTCAAAACTTAATTGAAGATGCTATGTATAATGAAAAGAGAACAATATAACATAGCACGACCAGATATGATAAATTTATTAATGGAAGCCAGAAAAAATGGATTGCAGTATGATGAAATTCCTGAATATAAGAATGAGGGTTTTGCATCAGTTGAAGAATCTTCTATTCGGAAAACGCAAAAACGAAAAAAAAAAACTCCTATTACAGATCAGGATATTACAGCGCAGGTCTTTTTTTTTGTTGGATTTGAAACGGTAGCTTCCAAATGTGTTTTGTCGCTTATGAATTAGCACTTAATCCCCATATTAAAAAAAAATTACACAAGAAATTAACGAAACCGAGAAACCTTGTAGAGGGAAGCTCTCTTACGAAACCATTTGTGGGGTTGATGTTGGTCAGGACTCAATAACTCTCAATCCCCAACAATTAACAATTTATTCACAAAGGTTCACGCAAGAGAAAATACAAAGCAGTGTTCATGTCAGAGCGAGACTCTAAGAAGTACTAATTCTCCCTAGCCCTCTCGTGGGGGGAAACGCCGCGGTCAGGTCTACATAGATGGCGCCACATCACTCCTTCCCCCATAGATAAATAATACTACGTAAATAGAATGCAAACTCCCACTTGATTTTTGGTCTCAATAAACGCCCCCTGGTGCCTTGTGGCCGGTGCTAAAGCATGAACTACTAGATGCGTCATTGCTGCATATTTTATAATTAATATTTTATTTTTATTATCACTAATAATATTAAAAACACAGAGTAGAATAATATACAATTTATTAGTATTGTCTACGATTTTTTGACTTTAATTTTTTTTTGTACATTATACAAGCGTTTTGATATAATGCATTTTTATGTGTGGAAACTCTTGTATCGCGACCGCTTAAAATTAAATTCAAACCTTTTACAAACGTAAAAATTGTTAAATATATAATTTTATTACATATTTCACTTTCAATTAATTCCTTATGTTCACAATGAAACGAAAATTTGACATGATGAGATACTATAAACGAAATTTTGTTTTTGATGTTGTCGAAAGATGTACAATTGTTTAAAATGATTCTTGAAATATTATAAATTCTGTTAATGTTTTTTATAAAATCTAACTTACAATATTGCAATTTTCTGTTATTACAATTGTATTCTCTTATACGTATTAATTTGTAACATTGTTCGTCTTCCGAAAAATTGTTTAAAATTTGGGTTTTACAATATTCACACTTCAAATTTCTTAATGTTTTCGCAACCCAGCCAGACACATAACCAACAATACTTTTATGAAGATCTTTTTCTAAATTATATGGAGACAGTTTTGAAATGTACATATTCACGTTTAAAATTTCGTAACTCGTTTCATTTACTGAAGGTTGATTTATGTTTTTATCCACAAGTCTTTTAATATGAAATAAATCCGGTATGTTCGTTTTCTCACAGTTTGCGCCCACTGAATTTGAACTATAAAAATTGCGTAATAATAGAGATTTGAAACTTTCCTTAAATTGGGCTGCCGTTAGATTAGTTGCTCGATTTCTTTGACTTCTGATTTTGCCAAAATAGTTTTCAATAACATCTTGATACTAAAATTGTATGTAAATCCACAAAACCTTCTAACGTTGCAATCCAGTTTTTTATACACGGAGGTACTACCATTTTTCCGGCCTCATCGACGAAATACATATCACCCAAAATTTTGATAGCTTCCTTCCAAAAATGTTTATGACCGGAAGATTTAAATACGCCCCCAGAAAATGGTTTTCCGCACCGTGGTTGAAAAGTACTGCCATTTACACCGTCGAAGAGCTTGTCAAAAAATTTTATAATTCGTGCTGTTCCCATTGCCTCGTGTGTTGAACTGCATTCGGCTGTAAAATTAAATTGTAAATGAATCTGTTAATTATTTTTAAATTTGTATTTACTAGATTTAACCAATAGCGTAATAGTCGATGCCATTGAGTGACTCAAAACTTGTGTCGCATAGCACACCTTATCTTTTGAATTTTTTCCGGAATTACATGGAGATCCGTAATTTTGTGTAGAGCCCGTAATTCTCCACATGTTTGATCACTGTAGTACGCATCGATTATATGTTTCCAATTTGCAACCAAAATTTCCTCGCTTGTTTTCCACACTAAATTTTTAGTAAGCAGATTGTTCCTAATACATTTAATTAAATGAGGCGTGTCATATAAGGGAATAATTTCTTGATCCCCTAATAAAATTCTTCTTTTAGGTTCCATCCCTTTATGTATATAACGTTGTTTCGACTCCTTTAGCAGAGAATTTATAGCTGCTTGGTTTGGTTGGCCTTGATCACAAATTGTAACCAGAATTTTGAATCCACAATTTTGTATTTTTTCAACCAGAGTTTTTATAATAGTTGTCAATATGTAAGATTTTGTAGACGAAAAAGAAAATGCAAAGTATATTGGCTGTTGCCATTTTTTAAACACTCCGCGAATGAAAAAAACAAGAACATGATCTGCTATCTGTAAATTTTGTTCAAATCCAAAATTTTGAAATCCGAAAAATGTATCCGTATATTTGTCACAGTCTATGTGGGGCATTATGGACATTTCATCAAAAATTAATGCACATATTCTATCTTGGTTATTTAATTTTGAAGCAGATTCTTTAAGATTGTCGAAAATTATTTTGTTTATACCAACGTCTACTGGAATTTTGTTCAACATAGACATAATTGTTTGACGTGAAGGCAGTGCAAAAATCTGTCTCATTTTTCTATAACATCTCCCAGACTGTTTATAAAACATTAATGCAAATAATTTATCTTCAGTGGTAAACCTGCGACCCTTTGGTTTGACATTTCGTCTTTTTAATTGTGATAAACAAAAATTTATAGCATCCTGACTTAAAATTTTGCTTTCTAATTTTACTTCAAATTTGGAGCATAATTTCAATCGTTGGCGATACGAAGCTACCTTAATTTTGTTTCTACGGGCTGTACGCGAAATATTCCTAGAATTTGAATGTAAATTTAGTATTCGAGAAGATTCTTGGTTTAAAGTTTCGTTTAGGGTTTCTCTGGAATTTCGAGATACTTCAGTACGAAATTTTTGAGAATCCAGTATAGAAATAGGGTTTACGGGATCATGGGTGTGTCTTTCGGAGTCGTTCATATTATCTGAAATTATTGTAAAAATTATCTATGGCATTCACTTGCACACAAATATTTACCATGCATAATTTGAATTGTAGGAATGGCAGTATTTTTAAGTTTTTGATTGGGGCCAAAATCCGTTTCTTTAAAATGTACATCGCAAAGAAAATATCCATTTTTATATATTTTCATGGGATCTAATTTGCATAAATTTGGATTCCCTGTCCGTTCCAACCAAATTTTAAAACGCTCGTTGTATTTGTAGGGGTTGGGAAAACGATGGCGTTTAATAATTTTAGTGTTTAGACATTTCAAAACACTGCACAGTTTCATATTTTACGCTTTGTTATCACGTATAATCACACAAATGACACTTTTATACTGATCATAAATGACATTAGTTTTTTTTATTGTTTCTTAAAATTGGCTGTGGAAGTTGTCGCCAAGTAATTTTTGGAAAAAAAATACTTCACTGCTATCAGTGCTATCTCTTATTATGTGGCCGGTACATAAGCCTAGACACAAACCTGGGACACGCATTACAGCCGACTTTGCATTCTATTTTACGTAGTATTATTTATCTATGCCTTCCCCAGTGAGAGGGTTGCGAACACTCGAGCGATTAGAAAGTTTTTTACAATTATTTACGTACAATGAGTTATAAGCATTACATTTTAGTGAAATTGGACGAAATCTTTGTAGCGCGATGGAAATCTGACGCGTCTCCCTGATCGGGCGGTCTGCTCGCTTCGTGCTTGTTGGTTGGGCGCGACTGTCTCGGCGCCAGAATTGGAATCGTCACTAGAGACTTCATCTGGTGGGTTGGCGGTACGGTTGGTACTCGTGCATGGAGTGAAATCTGTCATTCTTTCGACGTATGCGGGTTTTAACCTATCAACGGATACGTTTGCAGCCCTACCCTTAATTAGCAAGGTGAAAAACTTGTCGTGGCGTTCCAGCACTTTGAAAGGACCTTCATATGGGGGCTGAAGTGGCTTCCGTATAAGATCCACTCTCACAAACACGAACTCTGATTGCTGCAAGTTGTTTGGCATATGGACGTAGGGCTTGTTGTGGTGCCGTGCTGCTGGGTATTTTAGGCACTGCATTCGGGCTTTCAACTGCTCCACGAACTGGTTTGTCAGCGGGGGCAGTGTCTGTGGGTTCGACGTTGCTGCCTCAAACATGTCGCCTGGAAGCCGGAGAGACGTACCGTAAACTAAGTCGGCTGCAGATGTATTGATGTCTTCTTTTAGCGTTGTTCTTAGGCCTAATAAGACTAGAGGTAGGGCGTCAGTCCACTTGCTATCGTGGCACATGAGTGATGTCTTCAGTGACCGATGGAAACGTTCAACTAGACCATTACTCGGTGGGTGGTAGGCTGTGGTTTTAATGTGGTGTGTGCCTAGCATCTGTGTCAGGGATGAAAACAGTGATGACTGGAATTGGGTACCTCTATCTGTAGTTATTTTGGCTGGTGTTCCGAAACGACAAATCCATGTGTTGACAAATGCTTTAGCGCATGTTTCAGCTGTAATATCTTGAATCGGCGTTGCCTCTGGCCATCGTGTGAATCTATCAATTAGGGTTAGCAAGTACTCCTTCCCATTTGCTGAGGGTAGTGGCCCTACAATATCCAAGTGCACATGGGAAAATCTGGCATCCGGGTTTGCGAACGTGCCAACTGGTGCATGGGTGTGTTTGTGCACTTTGGCCTTCTGACATTTTAGGCATTCTCTTACCCATGTTGCTATGTTTTTCCGCATGGAGGGCCAGAAATATTTCTTCGAAATCTGTTTAGTGGAGGATTTCACTCCGGGGTGTGCTACTTGGTGGATGGTGTCGAAAATGTGTTTTCGGAACGTTTTTGGAACGTAGAGTCTGTTCCCGTGGTTGGATTCATACCAGAGTGGTTCGTCTATGACAGGTGCTGTAATGGTGATGAACGCGAACTTGCTTTGCTTTTTTAGCTCTTGCAATTCTGTGTCTTCCTTTTGTGCTTTAGCTAGTTGTGCGAGAGAGAACTCTGAACGTGTAATTGCGCTGATTCTTGATAGTGCGTCGGCTGGAATATTGTTCGAGCCGTGAATGTGTCTGATATCGGTGGTGAACTGTGAGATTAAGTCCAGATGTCGACACTGTCTAGGCGAGCATTTTTCAGGTTTTTGTTGGAAGGCGTACGTGAGTGGTTTGTGGTCGGTATAGATTACAAAGTGTCTACCTTCTAGAAAGTGTTTAAAATGTATCACGCTTTTATAGATCGCTAGGAGCTCCCTGTCATAGGCGCTGTACTTCCTTTCAGCGGCTGTCAATTTCGATGAGAAAAATGCGAGGGGCTTTTGAGACGATTCTTCCAACTGCTGTAACACTCCTCCGATGGCCTCAGCTGAAGCATCTACTGCTAAACTGAGTGGCAGTTTGGGATCGGGGAATGTTAGTGTTGTTATGTTAGCTAGATCCGACTTACATTTTTCGAAAGCTCTCTCAGCTTCCTGGTTCCAACGTAAATCGGCGTTTTTACGTGAACACCCTTGAAGAAGGTTGTTCAGGGGTGCTTGGGTATTTGCTGCGCCATTGATCCATCTGCGGTAATAGTTTAGCATTCCCAAAAACCTCTGCAAGTCTTTTGAAGTTTTTGGTTTTGGGAAAGTTCTTATTGCGCTGACTTTCTCTGGGAGCGGTTCCAGGCCTTTGTTTGAAACCTTGACGCCAAGGAATGCTAGCTCAGGTACGCCAAACTTGCATTTTCCTGGGTTGATGACTATGCCATGTTTGTGCAGACGTCGGAGCACTTCCTCCACATGTTGGACATGTTCTTGTTCTGACGTACTGGCAACAAGTATGTCGTCTATATAGGCGTAGGCGAAGTCGAGTCCGTACAATGCTTGGTCTACAAATCTCTGGAATGTTTGTCCAGCATTTTTTAACCCATATGGCATCTGCAGGAATTCGAAGAGTCCGAATGGTGTTGTGACAGCTGTCTTTGGTCTATCGCTTGGATTTACAGGTATCTGAAAATATGCGGTTAATAGGTCCAATGAGGAGAAAATTGTCTTGCCCTTTAAATTGGCGGCAAAGTCTTGGATGTGCGGCACTGGATAGCGGTCGGGGATTGTGACTGCGTTAAGACCGCGATAGTCCCCGCATAGACGCCATGTGCCATTGTTTTTGGGGACCATATGCAAAGGGCTGGCCCAAGGTGAGGAGGACGGCTGTATGATGCCATTTTCCCTCATGCGCCGAAATTCTTCTTTGGCGATTCGCAGCTTGTCAGGCGGCAGTCTTCGGGGTCTACAGTGGGCTGGGGGTCCCCGAGTTGGAATGTGGTGAACCACGTCGTGTTTCGTTTCGCGTGGTGTTGTTGTAGTTCGGGTGACCTCTGGGTACTTTTGCAGCATCTGTTTATATGTTGCACTCGCACCTTCGAAGACTGCGTGGATCCCGTGTTCGTGAGCGCGTTTCAAACGCCCTTCGACCGAAAGCGATGTGCGCGAGTCACTTATTTTTTTGTTTTTTATGTCCACGCACAAGCCATAATGCTCGAGAAAATCTGCGCCGATTATTGCGTTCGTTACCTCGGCGACTATAAAGGTCCACTTGAACTCGCGGCGAAGGCCAAGATTTAGTGTGACGGTTATTTGACCAAAAACGCGGATATCCGAACCATCGGCTGACTGTAGTCGCAACGAGGTGGGTTCACGGGCGCACTTGTGTTTGAATTTGGCGGGCAGAATGCTGATATCGGCGCCTGTGTCGACGAGAAAGTGTGTCTTCGAACCTTTGTCGACGATGAACAGGCGTCGGGACGCTTGCCGGGCCACCGCAGCTGCCCTTACGTGCGGCCCTCGTGCCCGTTTTTTTTGAAAGCTGCAGGGTCGTGTGCACTTATTGGCTTTCTCCCCAAATTTTCGATGATACCAGCACTGCTGGTCCTCTCTGCTTCTGCTTCGACTTCGAGTTCGCTTTTTGCTTTCCCCTTCGAGCCGTTTCATCAGATTGTCCATTTTTTCCAGGATTCTTGACATCATCTGCATCATGTCGACGTCGCTCGAGCGTGATGGACCTGGTTGCGGAGACCTTGCTCGTGTTTCCGCCACCGCTGCCGACGGGGTGGACTCAAGTATTTTGTCGGCCACTTCTGCCACCTTGTCTATTTCGACTTGTGTAAGTGACACAAGGATCGGTTGAATGGATACCGGCATCTGTTGAATAAATAATTCTCTTAACGCTGTGGCATTTACGTAGGGCGTATTTTGTATTAGGGACTGCATGTGTCTCAGCAGCTGTGAGGGCTTTCTAGAACCCAACTCCTGGCCACCTAACAACTGCTTTAGTCGCTGCGTCTCGGTGATGCAGGTGCGACTGACGATGGCTTGTTTGAGACATGTGTAAGGCTCCGTGTCGTGTGGCTTCAAGATGACGTCGGATACTTCGGCTGCTACATCGGGTGGTAATATGGTGAGCACATGGTTGAAACGTGTCTCTTCTTTTGTAATTTTGCTGATCTGGAACTTTGTTTCTACCGTTGTGAACCATAGGTCTGGCTTGGCTGGCCAGAATGGGGGCAGTACGAAATGGGTTGCGGCAGACGCGTGCGTTTGTTCGCTTTGATCATCGTCGCCAGCCATCTTGTTTTTTCGTCCCGGTGCGGCGTGGAGTTGCTTGACCACGTGGCTGGGTGTTTCGCTCTCCTCGCGTTGATTTGCCTTTTAGTCGGGGTCACCAATTTGTGGGGTTGATGTTGGTCAGGACTCAATAACTCTCAATCCCCAACAATTAACAATTTATTCACAAAGGTTCACGCAAGAGAAAATACAAAGCAGTGTTCATGTCAGAGCGAGACTCTAAGAAGTACTAATTCTCCCTAGCCCTCTCGTGGGGGGAAACGCCGCGGTCAGGTCTACATAGATGGCGCCACACATTCTTGGAATGAAATACTTGGATATGGTTATTTCCGGTAAGAAATGGTAATTCCTTTATTAAAAATCGTTTCCCTTGATTTTTACAGAAACTCTGAGAAAATGGCCAACTACATTTGCAGTAGATCGAGTTTGCACAAAATCGTATACAATTAAACCTCAGAGTAATTACGAAGTACCCGTTTTTCTTAAACCAAAGGAAGTTATATTTTTTCCTATTTATGGGTTACATAGAGATGCCCATTATTATCCAAATCCAGAAAAATTTGATCCAGATCGTTTCAGCGACGAAAATAAGATGAACATCAAACCATTTACTTATTTACCATTTGGATTAGGACCTCGGAGTTGTATTGATTCCCGATTTGCTTTACTTGAAATTAAAGCATTATTTTTTCATTTAATACAAAATTTTGAAATTATTCCAGTTGAAACAACGGAAATTCCGATAAAACTTAGCATCACATCATTTAACCTAACTCCCAATGACAAATAACTAGAATTAGGTCTGAAGCGACGAAGTGAGAAAGAATTCCATTAAATATTCTTATAATTTGAACAAATTCACGCTATATTTGAATGTCAAAAAATTTTACGATTGTGATGTGAGGAGTATATATATGAAGAATAAATATGAGACATTACTTTCTGGGTATAATAAAACTGGGGCATTATTATTACATATTAATATTATTATTGACGTATGTATATTCAACATGGTGGATCACATTTGTAGAATGTATTTCAGAATTAATCGTACTCTATTTAAATCCTAAATTTAAACAATAATTTTTTAAATTTCAATTTCCTCTTTACGCAACCAATAATGAGCTCAAGAAAACGACGAGACTGCAGAACGCGGAAACATCGGTCTTGCAAGCACCAGCATTACGAAGCGCTGACCACCGCAACAGCAGCATCGTCAGCTTTACGAACAATGGAAAACATCAGAAACTGGGACGCCATATATTTTCAGATTCAATATTACCTTTAGTTTAGAAACACTCATACATTGTAAATATGTAGTTTTGTATAAATAAATTAGGTTGTTCTGAATAAATCAGTATTAAGCTTTATTGGCTTTTACTCACTCCCACAATTCTACCCCAGAATTGTTCATGGTCCTTCGAGGCATTACTGAACCAGATGCCACCTTCCAAGTCTAAAAACTAGGACTGTGAGACTGCAGTCCAGTGGCATCTTCCTTAACATAGACACCATTTCCAAGTCCACAATTTTTGGGACCGTGAGACTGCGGTTCGGTGGTGTCTGTTCCTTTTTACCCGGTGCCACCTTCCAAGTCTACAAACTCGGGCTGTGAGCTGCAGTCCAGTGGCACCACTCCTTTTTTACTAGAACACCATTTCCAAGTCTACAATTTCGGGCTGTGAGACTGCAGTTCGGTGGTACCATCCTTACATAAGCACCACTTCCGAGAGAATTTTCGGTCAGCGGTGTCCTTTATACTCAGCACGCTTTCACGGAATTAAGGGTGCAAGAGAAAACTCGGCATGGAAGAATTCAACAAGAAAGTCAAAGAACAAGAGGATTTGGGGAAGAAAATTCAAGCCTTCCTAACTAACGCGAGAAAAGATCCCGCAAAAAGAAAAACCCAGAATTGGCGATCCAAAAGGGTAGAACAACTCCAAGAATATTGGAATGAAATTCAACAAAATCATGAAGAGTTGAAGATACTGGGGCCCACCCTCAGAACTACCCACAATTATTTCGAAGTGAAATATTTCGAGCAATTAAAAGCGTTGCACGAAGATGCAAAGAAATACCTCAAATCAATTCAGACGTCATCCGACGTCGACCCGGAGCAAGAAGTCCGCATCCGACGTCAATTGTTATGACTGCAAAAAATCTCCACCGAGCTGACGAAGATAAACAGCGATTTACCTCAGGACTACAGCCGAGCCAGGTATGAACTTCTATCCGAAAAAAACCAAAATCAGTGGAGGCATCGTAGAACTGCATGAAGGAATCTACCTCCATGAAAATGATTTCGATGAAAAATATTTTGCCGACGAGATCTACGAGAAGATTGAAGAAAAGTACGAGGTTGTGGTTGAAAAATTGAAAGAAAAAATCCAGTCACCGTCCGCCCATCAACATGAGAAACCGAACATCCAACTACCCCAAATTAAGCTTCCAACGTTTAGCGCAAAATCTGAAGATTGGCCCACTTTCCACGATTTATTCAACAAAGTCATCCACAACAACACATCGCTCTCCAAGATTGGAAAGATGCAGTATCTGAAGACGTACTGATGAGATGGGCCCAGCAGAATTATCCAACATCTTCAGATAACGGAAAATAATTACAAAACTACATGGGAACTGTTGGCAAAAAGATTTAGCAACACAAGGCTTACCGTAAGTAAGTTATTAGACAAAATTTTGGATCAGCCAAGAATACAAGAAGAATCAGCAGAAAAGCTGAAACAATTACATGACACAACAAAAGAATGTGTAGAAGCATTAAACAATTTAGACATTCAGACCAAAACGTGGTTTGCTCATCAAAATAGTCTCTCAAAAACGTGACACAGAAACAAACAGGATGTACGAATAGTCATTAAACAACCCACACGATATGCAAGAATTCGAGAAAATGATGGATTTTCTGCAGACAAGATTTCTATCTCTCGAAATAATTACGACAAACAAGAAAGAGAATGCTGAGTCAAAGTGGAAATAATTTCCAAGTTAAAATCATGCAAATATGCATGAAAATCTAGTGAGTTTGTTGGTATTCGATGCAGAAGAATACAAATTCCCTGAACTTTTTTCGTTAGGTTAAGTTTTATTATATTAAAGGTTAAAAAATATGCCAGAAATATAAACATTGTTGCCGATACTTTCAATTTTCAGTAGCAATGACCAAGTTAACGGTATCCATTTCTTAGAAAGCATAAAACCTGTGACGAGCCGTCACTAAATTCGTTCACGAGAAAATTGTAACTAAAAAGACTAATAACAAACCCTCAAAACATAACGCGAAAATTTGCAAATCTTAATTAATTAACACGCATGTTCTAATCGGCATATAGTACCATTCAAATAGATAAACAAAAATCAACTATCAATCCCCAAATGCAGGAACAAAACTCGCGTATTCGCAAATTGCGAATAACATTGCGCTTGCCAGACATTGCAAATAAATTGTACAAAATAATGCGCCAGAAACATCGCCAATCGCAATTACTCTCATCTAAAAATTGTATCCAAACCAAAACAGCTGCAAACGAAACGCAGACGCATAAAAAACATCAAAGAACGCCGTCGCTTCAAACTTACAACGTCATCAACCCAGCAGTGCATCTGTGCACGCACACTCATCTTAGCCCTCGCTATAATGATCCTCACTTCATCCCCGGAACTGAGATTTCATCAGCTTCCCATATTTTTACCATATAAGGAAGCGGACTTACCGATTGGTCGACGCATCTTCACATTTTCATGACCATATAAGGGCATATAGTACCACACAAAAGCACGGTTCTATTTCTGTCCAAAACGAAGCTATATAAGGCTGAATTTCGAGCAGGAAAGAAATTCAGTTAGAGTAGAAGTTTCCAGTTGTAGCCGAAGGCTCTGCCGAATCATTGGTCGAGATTTTTATTAATTTTGCTGAATTTTGAAGAAATCCGAACTTAGAAGAATTTGCTGAGCCCGAGAGGAAGATAGAAAAATTCTCAATGCTGCAGCTGTGTAAGCCTACCTTTTAGTCATTCTTAGTTTATCTTGCTTTCCGTTTTTCGTCATGTATTCTCGAGTTCGAATCGTACATGTGTAGCGTTTAATTTATGCGTTTTCTCCGTTACGTTGGGTGTGAACAGTTAGCGCCGGCACCGAAAGTAATCTTTAGTGCTTCCATATGTTCCCGTTTGCAGGTGGCACGTTTAGCCTTGCGTCGGTTCTTGATTATTGGGGAGGATTTTTCGATAAATTACCGTTTGCTTTTATGATAATTATTCCAAATTTCTGTAAATTGCCGATTTAACTCTTTTGCTTGCGACATAAATATTTTATATGCGTTTTGGAGAGGATTTTTCTGATTTTTACCATTTGCTTTTATAATAATTATTCCAATATCTCTTTAAATTTGTCGATTTAATTCTTTGCTTGCGACATGAATATTTTATGTACGTTTTTGGGAAGTTCCCGAATTGAAACCTATTAATCTAAATTTCTTGCTGTCGATTATTTTATATTGAATTTTTGCCGTTTAAATATGACTCCGTTCTCTGATTATTTTGCTATAGTATATATTATATTGCTATCTTTCTCACATTATACTTTATTTTAATCGTCTCATTGTGTTTTAGCGCATTTATGATACTAACGTCCCAATGTTTAACTGCATGTATAAATTATGACTGTTTATTTTCACATGTACCTACCTGTCCTGTAACCATCAATTTTTCTCGTGAACGATTGTTGTGCTCGGCATATTTAGCTAATCGATGTATGTGAAAACTTATTTATCTCTCTTTTTACATGTTTATATTCATAAGTTGTCGTAGATTTAAGTGCATGATTTTACCCGTTATTTTAGTTGTTCTCATGATTTAATTAATATATATATATATAAATGCCCAATCGCAATTTATTTAAATAATTAAGTAATGATACCATTTAGTAGTTAGTAGTTTATTTTTTTTGGTTATTTATCATGCTCGTAATATTAATGTTGTTTAGAAGGTATCGCATTTAATTATGGATTTACCGAATTAATTTTTAGTCTTTTGCATGCTGATTTTTCTAGGATTAAGTTTATTAATTAAAAATGTGGGTTATGTTCATAGATTTTAAGAGTTTTATTAGTGGAATATAATTGCGTAGCGCTTTAGAAGAATGTTTTGCATGTTGTTTTGTTTTTTCGTGTTATGTGTGTGAATTTATTTTATGTTTTATTTTTCTGTTGATTATTTACACATTTACTCGATTATTCTTTTGACATGCTTATTATGCTTTCTTTTAATATACGTATAAAAATGTTATATATGTTTAATTATTACCTCTTCCCCTACATGCAGTTTAGCTCTTCCATTTCCAAGGAAATGGGCCTACACCCAAATAAATAATTTTGTTAGTGTCCAAAAGCTCGGCCGCGGTCAAAACTATTTGGGCACGACAAACCTTACGCTACTTAAAACAGTTATTCGGCTTTTTTAAGTGTTTATTTCATATGTAAAGAACAAACACTAAAATTTCACTTAAACATTGTTTTTATATGAATAAGGGTTCTACATACGACTATTGTCGCATGCCACATTTAGCATCTCATTTTTAATTCTCAGTCATCAGTTCGTTCTGCTCGCCCACTCTTCTTAGAAATGGAAATTTCGACCTTTGTGAACAACCCATTTCCATATCTTCTAACTTCTTTTTTCACTTTTCTAAGATTACTGAAAGGGTTGGTAAAAGACAAGCTCTTCTGAAACATTTTTCCGGCCTTAAATTGAATGATTTATCTATAGCTCTTAC